ATTTGTTTTACATCCTGTGCCTGTCAGTAACTTTTTGAGTTTCATTCTGCTGTCTGCATTTCTTCATGGGGCTCTTATTCATGGGGCTTTCTTTTCCTGTGTGTTTTTGTAATTTTTGATTTATGAATTCAAATCTCTTGGCATTGTACTTGTAGGAATTCTTTGTGGGTGGATTGAATTCATCTCATTCCAGAGTGAATTTGTGATTCTGCCTTTTGTGGAGTAGAAGAGGTGGAAGGAGGGCACTCTCAATTTAGGATTTCTTTGAATTCTCTACTGAGGTTTTTTTTTTTTTGATCACAGTTTGTGGAAATTTGGGTCACAGACTTTTAGAAGGGCCTAGTTATAGTTATGAGTTTTGGAAGATACTTCTTCTTTCTTGCTGTCTCTACTCCTAAGTGCCAAGGACAAGTCAAGCAAGTTTTCTTGCTGTTTCTTGTAGTGTGGGATTATTACTGGTTCCCTTTTACATTGAAGAGAAACTCTTTGGAGATCTCGGCTTCATGCTCATATCGCCTGTTGTCCTCCCTGTCTTGAGTGGGCCCTAAGTTTTAGCACCTGTTTCCTGCATACCATTCCATTCAGCTGCTGGAAGAGAATTTAAAGGTCGCTAGGGTCAGAAAATACCAGCAGTGGGAAGTCTTTGATGTTTGCTTATCTCTCGTAATTACCCCATCACTTTGTTTTTTGATTCCTGCAGATTATTTTTATCACTAGCTCAGTTAATAGTTATTTTTCAATTTCACCTATCTTTTGATTGTTTTCATCAGAAGGGCCTGAGTATCTAATTACTTCTTCATGATGAATTCTGTAGTAAGGGTACTAAGTCTCATCTTTTGCCTAAGTTACAAAAATGGGCACAGAAGTCAGAAAAAAATGTCTTCTTCCATTTGTGTGTGTCATGTGCTCAGACAAAAATAAATTAATTCTGATACCTATGAAGACTTCAGAGCAGAAGTACTACTTTTTGTTGTTGTTGTTGTTGGAGGTTTGCTTTTGTTGCCTAGGCTGGAGTGCAGTGGCGCGATCTTGACTCACTGCAGCCTCAGCCTCCCGAGTAGCTGGAATTACAGGCGCCCACCACCACACCTGACTAATTTTTTGTATTTTTAGTAGAGACGGAGTTTCGCCATGTTGGCCAGGCTGGTCTCAAACTCCTGATCTCAGGAGATCCACCACGCCTGGCCTGGAGCAGAACTTCTTAACTCACCATCATGCCTTCCCTTTATACCAGTAAAGAACCACTGATTTCATAAAAGCTATTGTTAGTTTTGATAGGGTCATACTTCTTAAATGTGGTAATGGAGCTATTATTATTAAATGTTTACTTTTTCTAGGCTCACTTTAAATTTTTGGGTGATTGTATGACTATTATGTGATATGATAGAATTTGTCAGCCTTCAACAAAATCCTTCAGGAATGTCTTAAAGATGGTTGCAATCGAACAGCAAAATTTTGACTTTGCAGTTGGTTTTCACCAGTTATGTCTAACTTTGGTGTTGAAAACGCTGTTAAATTTAAAAACAACTCAGCAGAAACCAATTGCTTAGTATAATCTTTTGCCTTTTTAGTTAGCATTAGGCTAGAGAGAGGAGTGTACCCTGATCATTTCTGTTGAGGAAAACCTTGAATGCATGCAATAAGCATGCTTCTCCTGCATCTGCAGAATCTGCTGCACAGTCATTACCACAGGAAGGCATAGTTTATGGTGCTGTGCCTTAGTTTAGAACTGTAATAAGGTGAGTACTGTTCCTTCTTTGTACTTTTCATTTCAGTCTGCTACCGTCAGTCTGTCCTAACCATCATTCTTCAAGCTGTTGAATTGTGGACTTGGCTTGGCATATATTGATTGTCTTAGACTTCCCTAGAGTCTTGTGTTAAAACAGTAATGTCTTCAGAAGCATTGATGAAAGTCATCAGAAACGATAGAATGTTGAGTGAGAAGGAATTTTAGAAATCATGTAATCTTTTAATTTTCTGAATAGTTTTAGCCATGAAAATCTTAGTTCATGTAAAGGCTTACTTGAAAACCCAACAGAAAATTTGTAACTGGGAGTTTTGAAAATCACTGAGGATTCTGACCCTTTTATTTTGCAAATGAAGATTCTTAAATCCAGAAAGGTTAAATTATGATGATCTACAGCTCTTTCTACCTTACCACTCTTGGCCTACTGTTCTCAGATTTCTGAATTGGATTATGGTTCTGCTTTGTTGTTAGGCTGTGTGGGGGAGTACAGTGATGATACCTCTGGGGGCCGCTTGAGGGAATTGGCTCTTGTCTGCTAAACTAAGGAGGGTATCTATTTTTTTGTATTATAGCTGTCTTGTTTTGTCTTCTGATTTTCCTCTTGTCATTTCTTAGCTTTTGCACGGAGCAGAAAAGATGTATTACTGTGACTGTCTTCTTTTTGTTTGAAGGGAAGGGTAAGAAGAGGACCAACATTTATTGGACACCTGCTTGTGTGCCAGGCGCCACCAGCTGCCTTAGAAAAGTTAAAATTCTGTTAATTTATAGTCACCCTATAAAGTAGTTGCTAACATTTTTCTTTAACAGTTGGGAAACTGAGGCACAGAGAGACAATACCTGACCCATAGTTGAAACTGCTGTGAGGACAAGGGGGTGGGAGAAGAGCTTACTAAGCAGGCATGAAAGTACGTGGTACGTATGGTGACAGGTGGACATGTGGGGTGGGTAGAATACAAGGCGAGTGGCGTGTGATTCGGCTAACAGTGGAGGGATCATCTTCACCCGTTAACTTGTTCTTAGTGCATCTTAAAGGCCAGAAATGCCTTCCTAAGATGTATGCACTGGTATTTTATTGTTCTAGATAGGTAAGTATTTGAGGTTGTATTTTGGTTGATGGCACGTTTCTTCTGTTTTGGTGGGGGGAAAGGATTATACTCATTTGAATAAGCCAGTATCAGTTTGAATTTTTACGACAGTTGTTAAAAACCCGGGTTTGTTGGTTATTTTCAACATATATGAGGGACTTTTGAGCTGGCAGGGTGAGGGGTAGTAGGGCTTGCCATATTCCCATCAGTTTTTAGTGGATCGTGAAGTTGCTGTAATAATTGAATTTGGTATTGTTACGACATATTGCTATCCAAATTTAGAAATAAATGATATCTATTAACTAGTGATGGTATCAAGGTTTTATATAAAACCAAAAATTGATTTCCCAAGTCAAAAAAATAAGGACAGTATCCTGTATATATGAGGTGTGAAGTGCTGGTTGGCTGGAAGATATTAGAAGAAACGTCCTGTTTTGGTGGAACTTGACTGCCAACTCACCATGTGCCTTTATCAGTCCTCCTTTTCAGCCTAGCGCTGTCAGGAAATTGAAGACTCAGTGTCTGACAAGGTTTAGGAGTCTCGTGCAGGAAGGAAGCAGCAGATGTGGGATTCTGAGCACTGGTGCGTTGTTGTGACTATATGCCCGGTGTAGCTGAAGAGGCGTGTTGTCTCTGCAGCTCTTCAGTGTAACATTTGGGTATTTTTTGAGCAATGTCCTATCCGTTATACTTATCTATTATGTTTTCCTGGGAATTTTCAAGGTAAACATATTCAGAGTCATATTAGCAGAATTGCTTTTATTTCCCTTTCAAACTACATTTTAGAGTCTATTTAGTTGTATCTGCTTATTGCTTTTATTTCCCTTTCAAACTACATTTTAGAGTCTGTCTAGTTGTATCTGCTTATATGTCATCACCCACCATGGTGCTCAGGGCCACATTTCTCCCCCTCCCTTTCACATGGTCTTCAGGGACCACAGGTGCACAGAATTGAGTTGATCACACTCTTGAAACCGTGACACACTATGATTGTCTGTGCGAGGTCATTGTTTCTTGGATTTTGTTTTTTTCTCCTTTACCCCATTCCCAATTCCATGGCCCATCCCTCTTCCAGCACCACTCAGGTATATAGTATATTTAATATACATTCTTCAGTCTACTTTCCATGTGCTATTAAACACACACACACGTTGGTGTTTTATGTTAGTCTAATTTTTCTTTTTTTCATTTAACATTGTGTTTTTGAGATGCTCATGTTTCTTTGTGTAAACCTAGGTCATTTATTTTGGCTCTACTATGTAGTATGCTGTCACATTTTACGTATCTGTTTCCCCAGTGATGGACCATCTAGACTGCTGTCAGCTGCAATCATAAATGATACTGCAGTAAACATTCTTGTCAGCTTCAGTTCTGTGTAAGAATTTCAGGTTTATACTTCAGAATTGCTAGGCCACTGAGCATGTGCATATTTATATTTAGTTTCACAGAAGTTTGGCTCTCAGAGATGTGTGCTATCAGATTACACTCCTGTTAGAGTACATGATACAGCAGGAAATTTCATTCATTACTTAGAAAAAAAGAACATGTCGTGAATGTAATTCCTTGATCCACGCTTTGGTTCTGTGAGAAAGTTCCTATAAACCAATTTTTAGCCATTATCAAAAGCCTTTACTCTTCAATATCATTCTTTCTCTTCTCCTTTTTCTTTTCTTTGTGTTAGGTCGCAATAGGGATCACAGATAGTTTTTTTTACAGGGTGTTTCTAACACCTGTGTAGTTATGACAACACTACGAACATGCAATCGTGTAACGATGAGGATATGCTGTGAGAAATGCTTCATTAGGCCATTTCATCATTGTGCATGTGAACATCATAGAGTGTTTTACACAAACCGAGGTGGTAGAGCCTACTGCACGCCTAGCTAGATGGTAGAGCCTGTTGCTCGAAGGCTGCACATCTATTTAGCATGCTCCTGTGTTTTCTAGGCAGTTGTAACACGGGAGTAAGTGTGCATCTGAACATATCTAAACATAAGAAAGGTACAGTTAAAAATACAGTGTGAAGGATACAGACACACCTGTGTAGGGCAGCTCCGTTGTAATCTGATAGGACCATCATGCTGCGGCCCGTCATTGACTGAAGCGTCATTGTGTGGTGCATGACTACTATAAATACTAAGATTTTTGTTTTTCATTTTCTAGGGCGCCAATGCTTCGGCATTAGAGAAAGAGATTGGTCCAGAACAGTTTCCAGTCAATGAGCACTATTTTGGATTAGTCAATGTAAGTATCCATTGGTACACTTTTAGAATCATGTTTGGAAGGAGTTTTAAAGACGATGAATGCATTTCATAAGTTATTAAAGAAAAATTGTTCTTTTGTATTAATAGAATTAAATGCCAAGAGATGTGATTGGGAATTTTGAAATGATCTTCAAGGGAAGGGAAACAAAGTTGCCTGTTTTTTTTGAGACAGAGTCTCGCTCTATCACCCAGGCTGGAGTGCAGTAGCCCCATCTCGGCTCACTGCAAGCTCCACCTCCCGGGTTCAGGCCATTCTCCTGTCTCAGCCTCCTGAGTAGCTGGGACTACAGGCACCTGCCACCACGCGTGGCTAATTTTTTATATTTTTAGTAGAGACGGGGTTTCACCGTGTTAGCCAGGATGGTCTCCATCTCTTGACCTCGTGATCCACCCGCCTTGGCCTCCCAAAGTGCTGGGATTGCAGGTATCAGCCACTGCGCCTGGCCAGTTGTCTCACATCTTAAAATCTTAGAGATAGAATAGTTTCTAACTTGTCAATCTGATTGTCCCTATTTTGTCAGAAATTTATCATAGCCAAAATTTAGTGTTAATATATAACCTAGTCCAAGTGAACTCTTGATTCTTTGAGAATGATTTAGTTGACTAAGTGGTAGAAATGTACAAGTATAAATTTAGCTGTGCCAATGCCTCCATGTATCTATGGGGTATTTGACAATTTACTTCTGTCATTGTACCAGTGCTAGAGATACAAAAGTGTGAAATGTGGGGAAAGAGTACATCCCAGTTCTTATGGAGGTAATTCTAGTAATTACACATTTTTAAGACTTTAGGAAAATTTGAGAAGTTTACCTGAATGTTATCTGTTCTGAGTCACTGGGGGGTATCACAAACCTGTGCTATATAATTGTTGTGGTAGTTTATTTTATACTGTTGTACTGTACTATTAGGTGAATCCATGGCAGGTGTTTTAAAATGCATATATTGATAAAATAGGTAACACAGTAAGTTATATTGAACAGATTGGTGGACTCTAAATATTAGTCCATACATAGGGCGTTTGAGATGGGTTTCTCATGGATTTGAGGAAGGCAGTTGAAGTGATGTGTGTGATTCCCTGTGCTTTGGGAATTGTCTCTGTGCACTATGCATATAACCTGTAACAAAGAATCATCACTCCCCTACCTTTCTCTCTGTTCAGAACGGGCTGCTCATTACTCCTCTCGCTTATTTTTTTCTGGAATTTAGCCTTATATTCTAATTTAAAAAACAGCATTTCAATTAGAATTCTTAACAATAAAATTAAGACAAGCAGGAGAGAATAAACTTACTAAGAGACCATCAGAGGACCCTTTGTCTTTATCCCCTAGAGAGATTCATTTGATGAATAGAAATAGAACTTCTGGTCTCTGTGCCTCGTTATTATATATAAAATTAACATATCTACAGGGGTCACAGCTCCAACTATTAAAGGTTGGGAAACATTGTGAATTATACTCAGAAATAAAACTGGTCAGAGTAGATGCAGCAGAGCTAGTGGAGTGGTTAATTCCATACAGCAGGCTGGAGTGTGGTGGTGTGATCACAGCTCACTGCAGCCTTCACCTCCTGGGCTCAGGCAATCCTGCCTTAGCCTCCTGAGTAGCTGGGACCACAGGCACACACCACCATGTCTGTCAAATTTTTTAAAAAATTATTTGTAGAGATGGGATCTTGCTATATTGCCCAAGCTTTTTTTTTTTTTTTGAATGGAGAGAAGGAAAATAACCACAAATTAAATTAGCAGAAAATTAAACAGAGTGGTTGCTCTTAGTGCTTTGATGACAACCTGTTTTCTGTTACTTTCAATTGTAGATATTTTTGTCTTGTAAGAATATTTTCACAGATGATGGCTCTTATGGCAGCTTACTCTTAGTGAGGGATAATTACCTGTCACTATAATTTGTATAATACATAGAATGAGGATTTCCTCTTAGCTTATCTCATAGATACAATGCTATTCCTGATATTATTGGAAGTAGAGAGGAGAAATACTGGTGTGACTTGAGGAGCTTTGGATGGGGAAATTTGCTGTAAAGTATCCCACTTACAAGCCAGCTGTTTACATCGTCAGCTAAATTCTTTGAAAACAAGTTTTAACTGGCTAAATCAAATTGCCTTTTTTCCTTTTATATTGTAGCTGGTTAGTACTTATTTTAGTAGAGCTGATAGAGAGTGATTTAAACCACAGTTTAGTGTATCTTTCCTACTTGTAATATAGTCTGTGCATTGTTTTTGAATAGCTTTTTTTCATTGTTTTATTGTATGGTGGTTTATTAATTTTCTAATACAGGTGGGCCTCAACACACAAGTGGGCTGGCCGCAGGAACTCCGTTTGCGAGGGTGCTGTGAAACGTGCTTTTCCTGTCTTCTGAGGTTTTAAGCTGTTTGTTTAAAAAAAAAGAAAAAAAAAAAAAGGAAATGTGCTTCCCTTCAGAATCTTTATTATACAATTATGATTCCTTTTCTAGTCTATCATATAAAAGGCTATTTAACCTGAATTGCTTCTAGTTGTTAGTTGGAGCAGGGTCCATTATAGAAATAAATAAAAATGAAACTTCCCATTTTTAGGTTATAAACTTCATTAGGGCAAGTGTCTCTTGGTTCTCTTTTCTTTTGCATTGATTTCATTCTCATTCAGTTTCTCCCCGTCTGATGGCCATAGGTTGCTTGAGGTTTACATTGTTGGAGAGTCCAGAGAATATCCATATCAAACCTGGCAAAAGAGTTCCGGCCCAGGTCCTCTGGCTAGACTGTACCAAGTGTCCAGCCTTGTTTTAGGGGCCGTAAAAGCGCTTTGATTGATAACACAACAGTAATTTGCATAGAGGAGAGAAAGCAGTTCCTACAAGGAAGCATGGGGCAGTGGAGTAAGAACGTAGGGTGAGGGAGTGACATCCATTGGAGTATGAAAAGAAGACTTCTGGGTTAGGTACTCATTGTCTGGTCTACTCTGTTGGAGTAAGAAGAGTGGTGGGTAGGGGAGTGTGGAAATACAAGGTTCTAAAATAGGGTCATCTAAGCAAGAACTGGTTGGTGGAAGAGGGCATTCCCTTAGAACATCTCAGCATGTTCACAGAACAGGCACCGTCACCAGGCCCAGCGTGGGGGACAGGGAGGAAGTTGTGCTTCTACAAAAACAGTTCCTTTTCACAGTTTTATTTTTTGCTTTTTATTTATCTGGATTTGTTTGTTTGTTTTTGTTTTTGTTTTGAGAAAGGGTCTTGCTCTGTCACCCAGGCTGGAGTGCAGTGAGTGATCATGGCTCACTGCAGCTTTACCTCCCTGTTTCAAGCCATCCTCCTGCCTTTACCTCTTGAGTAGCTGGGACTACAGGTGCACACCACCATGCTCAGCTAATGTTTTAAGGTTTTTGTAGAGACAGAGTCTCACTATATTGCCTGTGCTGGTGTTGAATCCCTGGTCTCAAGCGATCCTCCTGCCTCAGCCTCCCAAAGTGCTGGGATTACAGGCATGAACCACTGTGCCCAGCCTCAGTATTTAAACAAAGTAATGCTATTGACATTATGGTGGTTAAAACCAGTAGTCTCCAAATAAAGTGTGTAAGATGATCCATTGGGAATGGGAAGAAAATATTAGAATTTATGATGTTTATTTTTTATCTAAAAATGATAGACTAAGCATTATTCTTAACATAAGGATGAGACTGGTGCCTATACTCTATCTGTATATGATATGGTTGTATGTTACTACAAGTTCCATGATGTCAAATGGTTGATGGCATCACCCTCACTCATTTATTTCTGCTGTGGCAGATCTATTATAATTTAAATGTAGTTTTAGAGAATTACATAATTTTAGTTAAAAGGTTGTTTTAAAAGCAACTATTGGCTGGCCACAGTGGCTCATGCCTTTAATCCCAGCACTTTGGGAGGCCAAGACGAGAGGATTGCTTTGAACCCAGAAATCTGAGACCAACTTGGGCAACATAGTGAGACCCTGTCTCTAAAAAAAAAAAACAAAAAAAAAAAAACATGCTGGGGGCATAGTGGTGCATGCCTGAGGTCCCATTTACTCCAGAGGCTGAGGTGGGAGGATATTGAGCCTAGGAGGTTGAGGCTGCAGTGAGCCATGATCATACCACTGCCCTCCAGCCTGAGTGACAGTAAGACCCTGTCTCAAAAAAAAACAACAAAAACGTAGCTATGAAATGATGAAGGGCCAGGAACTGTTCTGAGTGTTTTACGTGATGATTCATTTAATTCTTTGAGAAATTCTAAGAGATAGGTGCTTTATTGTCCCCTTTTTGCAGATGAAGAAACTGATAAACAGAACCGTTTAGTAATTTCCCGAGGTCAGATAGTGGAACCAGACTTGAACCTAGATAGTTTGGTTTCAGATACTATGTGCTTCATTACTGTGCTGAGGGGCTCTCAAGGCAAGCATTTCCTAAATGGATTCAAACTAATTTGGTAGATAGGACTACAAATTGGATACCATGATTTAAAAAGTAAGGGTAGGTAGTGAGACTCTCCTTCCCTTGTACCTGTGTATCTTTACAAAGGTATCTTTTTCAGTTTTGATAGCCATTAAAACCACATATCCAAATAACTGAACATAAACCCAGACTATCAAATTACTGTTTTAAAATCTAAAACCTTTACAAAAATATATACCCAATCTCCTTGCTCTCACTTAAAACTAATATTTTTTCATGAAAATAACAGCTTGTATAATAAATAAGACAAAAATCTAAAATGTGCATTTTCTTAATTGCATTCCTTTACATTTTTAATGTACATAATATAGTACATATAATTTATAAATATGTGTAAGGGATGTGCGCTCAAAATGGTCTTTGTAGTAGGTATATAAAAAGTATTTGCGGTGGGATGTTTGTTAAGGTTTGGAGAAAAAAAAGGCGTTAGAGAAAGCACGTTGAAAGCAAGAATGAGATTGTACTCACTAAGCAATCAAAAAATCAATGACCAGACCTCGAGTAGGGTGGCAACTTTTAAAATTTCCTCTCCCTGATTTAAACCTACCTTTGATCTTCAAAACCAGCTGAGATAACACAGCATAGATTTCAGCACTAAAGCATTGTTTTTTTGTTTTTTAGGAAATTGAGCATTCACAAACAAGAGTACAGAGAAAATCATCCCAGAAAACCTTTTGCACGAAGGCTGTACTCTTGAAAGATAATTTTTAGGTCTTAGGACTTTGAATGAAAGTTAATATTAAAAATCAAGAAAATTGAAGGAAAAGTTTCAAAATTATTAATAAGATTGAAAGTTAGCTTATTCTGGAGAAAGAGTAGTACTTTCAACCTTTAATTTTTCTTTAATGAGGTTGAGGAAAGAAATAAAAGAAGACTAATAGCAGGCCTCAGAGAATTAATCATAATGTTACTCTTGCTTTATATTCCAAAGATGAGCAAGTCATGTTGGACAGAACTGTGAGCCTGACTTCCAGTAGTCTACAAAATAGAGACTCCCTCTAGTTTTTTAGCCTATCCTATTTGCTTATTGTATTTTTTATAGATAGGTCAATCCTCATTATCATAATATTTCTGATATACTCCGAGATGATCTCTTTTGCTTTCATCTCCCTACTCGGTGGAAGTTGTTCAGTTCCCCTGTTGCCTATTCCAAAATATGGACATTGTCTCTTCTCTTTAGTTGATATAACTACATTTGTTGGTCATTAGCTTGATTAGATTGTGATACAAATACAGGTATTTTTAAGACAAATTATGTGGGATACTGGGTAAATTAATCTTAGTAACATTGTGGATGCTGTTTCAGGTGTACTTAACCGCTGGGTAGGGTGCACTGAAGTGTATCTATAGTTACATTTATGATCATGATACCAGTACGCTTTAATCACATACCTCTTAAGCACCTCTTTTTCTGAAACCGATGCTTGTCTCCTACTAGCGGTGTGGATGTGAGAAGTCATTGTCCTCCCTAGGTCTCAGGTCCTCAGCTGGAGAGGGCTTGGATCTCCCAAGCCTCTTCAAAAAGTTGGTAACTCCTGTTTCAGTGCAGAGGGATCTTACTTGTTTAATCTCTGTGGAAAAAAAGAAACATATTCAGACAATTAGGAGATTGAACATAGCAAAGCTTTTAAAATTTTCCCCTGAAATTATTGGCTCTGCCTAGTCTCTGTCTTCCCTATGAATTTATCTGGTTAGGTCCTTTATTTGCTATGATTTTGACACATAATGACATGATGACACAATTTACCTCAAAGATTCAGTGCCTCCTTTGAAAAGCTAGAGTAGGATAGGTAAATATAATGAATCACCATGAACCCATTAACCTAGCTTGAACAATTACCAATATTTTCATTCTCTTCCACTGACTTTTTTTTTTTTCCTGGAAAAGGAAATCCTAGACATCATGTCATTTTGGCCATAAATGGGACAAGTTTAATTACATGTCTCTAAGTGGCATGAACGTTTTAAAAAATATGATCATCTAATGATCACGCCTAACAAAGTCAACAATTTCTTAGTATCATCCGATGCTGTATATATTCAAGTACCTTCTTTTGTCTCAAAGATGACTTTTTTTTTTTTTTTTGGAAACGGATTCTCACTCTGTCACCCAGGCTGGAGTGCAGTGATGGTGCCATCTTGGCTCACTATAACCTCCGCCTCCCGCGTTCCAGCGATTCTCCTGTCTCAGCCTCCCGAGTAGCTGGGATTATAAGAGTAAAACGCCCAGCTAGTTTTTGTATTTTTAGTAGATACGGAGTTTCACCACGTTGGCCAGGCTGGTCTCGAACTCCTGACCTCAAGTAATCCACCCACCTCGGCTTCCCAAAGTTCTGGGATTACAGGCGTGAGCTATTGTGCCTGGCCAAGATGACTTTTTATAGTTGGTTTGTAAATCAGGATCTAAGTAAACTCCAGCATTTACATTCGCAGTTTGATTGTGGTGTCTCTTGAGCCCTTTTCAGACTTTTTTCAAGTTATCCATTTGTGGAGAAACGAGGTCATCTGTCCTAGAGACTATTCACGTTTCGAACTTGGCCTTTTCCTTCTTTGTGGTATTGTCTCTTTCATTGCCTGACTGTTGACTGTCTTGTAAATTAGTAGTTACACGTAGAGACATGATTAAAGTTTAGTGGTTTTGCTTAAGGCAAGAGTACTTCATAGGAGGTAAGATATATTAAAAGACACACATTATTCAGTTGTTCACTTTCAGCGATGCTGAAATGCATGGGGGGTTAGGTCTGATCCCTCTGTTTTAAAGATCCTCATCAGCTTTTAACCTAATGCTTTGAGCATCCATTGATAATTGTTGCTTAATCTATTATTTACAACCATTTCTTCTGATTTTATTCACTGGACTTATTTTATAAACAAAAACTTCATCAACTGTTTAGTGCCCCTGAAACATGGTTCTTACGAGAAAGGCAAGATGAATCTTTGATGTTTTCCTTTTATATGTTAGTTTGCAACTGTCAATGGAGACTCATGAGGGTTTCTTTTTTTAAAATGTCATTATGTGTATACACACACACACACACACACACACATATGTATCTTTTTTTGTGGAGAAAGTCACATTCTGTCGCTGAAGCCCGAGGGCAGTGGCACCGTCTTGGCTCACTGCAACCTCCGCCTCCAGGTTCAAGTGAATCTACTGCCTCAGCTTCCTGAGTAGCTGGGATTACAGGTGTGCGCCACCACAACCGGCCAATTTTTGTAATTTTAGTTAGAGATGGGGTTTCACCATGTTGGCCAGGCTAGTCTCAAACTCCTGACCTCAACTGAGCCACCTACCTTGGCCTCCCAAAGTGCTGGGATTACAGGCATGAGCCATTGTGCCCGGCCTAAAATGTCATTTTAAATTTATGAATTTTTATATAGTTAGTGTGTTTTGATCCATTGCAGTAATCCTTTTGTATTAAAGCTGACACATATTTAAGATACCCCAGGCTAATCTTGCACTTCTTATCCCAGATCTTGTATCAGCCATATCTTCAAGGTGTCCGAGTTCCTTTGGATGGGAAAAGGGTGTTTAGATAACACAGTCTGGGTAAAGGAGAAACTTGTTGCTGCCACACCTTTTCAGTGGACAGAGTTTGAAAACACACACACACAAACATACATGCATACACACAGACATACACTTTCAGAGTTATAAAAAAAATAAGTTTATATTGATGTTTCCAACTTAAGTTTACAAGGCTTTTACTTTTCTGATTTTATTATAGCATCTTTTTTTCCTTTACATGAAAAATTTTGGTTCCTAAGGGTATTAACATAATTCCTTGTTTGCTTTGTCCTGTGATATAGCTACCATAGTTTCAAAATAACAATATCAATAAATTTGTTTTTTTGTTTGTTTGTTTTTGAGACAGAGTCTTGCTTTGTCTCCCAAGCTGAAGTGCAGTGGTGCAATCTTGGCTCACTGCAACCTCTGCCTCCTGGGTTCAAGCGATTCTCATACCTCAGCCTCCCGAGTAGCTGGAATCACAGGTGTGTGTCATCATGCCTGGCTAATTTTTGTATTTTTAGTAGAGATGGGGTTTCACCATGTTGACCAAGTTGGTCTTGAGCTTCTAACCTCAAGTGATCCTCCCGCCTCGGCCCCCCTAAGTGCTGGGATTACAGATGTGAGCCACTGCATCTGGCTAATAGATTTTTTTTTGCTGTTTTTTTTTTTTAAATGGTTAGACTCTATCTCATTAGGCATGTATGGTAAACATTCTTTAAGTCACCTGAAGTAATTCTTTTCTCTGTATTTCTACCATTGAATCCATATACATTTAGGTTTTATTTTTGTTTTTAATTTTAGAAATTGCTTTTTTTTTTGAGACGGAGTCTTACTCTGTCACCCAGGCTGGAGTGCAGTGGCACATGGTCTCTGCTCACTGCAAGCTCCGCCTCCTGGGTTCACACTATTCTCCTGCCTCAGCCTACTGAGTAGCTGGGACTACAGGCACCCACCACCACACCCAGCTGATTTTTTGTATTTTTTTTAGTAGAGATGGGGTTTCACCGTGTTAGCCAGGATGGTCTCGATCTCCTGACCTTGTAATCCGCCTGCCTCGGCCTCCCAAAGTGCTAGGATTACAGGTGTGAGAAATTTCTTTATTTTAGAAAGATGGAGGTAAAAAGTAAGTGTTTTATAACCACTTACTTTCAGAGAATTCTCATTTTCATCCATCTCTCCATTATTTTTCCTCTTCTATAAATAATCATTTTTATTAGCTTTTTGTTTATCCTTCCTCATTTTTTAAAAAAAAATATAAACAAATGGTCTGTGGAAATACTTTTGATATCACCCAATCTTAAACATTTTTTCTCTACCTAGCCTTTTTAACTTAATACTGTATATAGTTGATCTCAGCCCATAGTAGAAATATGAGAATTGTCCTCATTCCTTTTTTATAGTTTCATAGTGCTCCCCAAATCTTCATGACTGACTTTTAGGTATTTTATTAGCTAGATTTTAGAGCCAGTGTTGAATGAATGGAAGGGAAAAAGGAGGCAACACATATTTATCAAACTGTGTGTCATTTACTTTATAAAGTAGGGTTATTTCCCTGCCCCCCAGTTACTAGAGTGGAGAGAAGTAGAGTTCAGTAAGATGTAGTGACATACTCCCAATGACATGACTGGTAAGAGAGAAATTCATAATTAAGAATTTGATGTCTTTCCAATGCATCATGAATACTGTGACTCGGCATTTCAGTGATTGTTAGACTGTCATACTGGTGACTTTTTCATGTAACATTTCAGGGGATCTGGTTTTTTTATTTTTTGTTTTTAAGTATTTTAATTTGGTTGTACCTAAGAACCTGATAGAAAACTTTACTTTTGTGATTTCTAAAGAATTTTTGAGAGTTGTATTTTAAAATGTATAATATAATGCAGTCAGTATTATAGTAACAGTAGTAACCACTTGTCATCTCTTTCTGTTCTCTCAACCATACACCGGGAATTTCTCTCTTGAAAATGTGTTTTCCTAAATTTAACAAAACTTTTTTTTTCTGTTGCAGTTTGGGAATACCTGCTACTGCAATTCAGTTCTTCAAGCACTTTATTTTTGTCGTCCATTTCGGGAAAAAGTTCTTGCATATAAGAGTCAACCTAGGAAAAAGGAGAGCCTTCTTACATGCTTAGCAGATCTCTTCCATAGCATAGCCACTCAGAAGAAAAAGGTTGGAGTAATACCCCCTAAGAAGTTCATCACAAGATTACGCAAAGAAAATGGTAACTCTACTTCCCACTGTATTAATGACATACTAGGAAGGTTAAATATAGTGTACCATAATTCCAGCACTTACTGAGCAGCATCTGTATGCCTGATAACATGTTAGCTGTTGAAGAAACAAAGATGACACTCCTTTCTTCAAGGAGGCACTCGTTTAGTGAAGAAGATAGTCTCACAATAAATTAATACAAGATACAATTAATGTTTGCATTGCGTTATACAGAGATAAAATTATGTGTGGCAGCAAATGAGAAATCACAGTTTCTCTTTTTGCTTGCTTGGCTTTTCTGTCAAGAATGAAGGGGTTTTTTTTTTTTTTTTTTTTGCATGCTTATGCATTTGTTGTTTTCATAATGCTTTCGTGTGTGTTAACTCATTGGATCCTTGCAGTAGCCTTAGATAGAGAGCATGTCATTTCCCCCATTTTAGCTGTGAAAAAATCAAAAGCTAAAAAAGGCTTGCCAGGAGCCACACTCCGGGGAAAGAGCTAGAAAAGACCTTTTGGCTTCGGGTAGATAAGTTTTAATCCCCCATCCCTTTTTAAAAATGGTTACTGAGTAAGCCCCACCCCGCTTTGCTCTTTTGAAATATTGTTCATTTAATTTTCACATGCCAATAAGTTAGACTTTATCACCCTATGAGATAACTGAGGCTCAGAGAGGTTAATTTGTCCAAGGTCCCACAGAGTTAGTAAGTGGTGGAGCTGGCATACAAACTTACTTCTCCCTGATACGTAAGCCCAGGGTTCTATCTAATGTGGGACACTGCCTCAAAAATGCAAATGGAATTTAGATAACATGTAGAATTCTGGCTTTTATTTAATGTAGGCATTTTAATCATTGTAGAAACAAAATTGAATGGCATTTTTAGTTGATTTGTTACCTATTAAATAGATGCTCACAAGCAGGATTTGAGAAGTCTTTAAGATTGATTATTAAATACCCTAATGTGTAATCCTGCCCTTAAATTAGTCAGTTGACACTGTTCACAGTGAATTGAGGTAAGCCTGGATCATATATAGTTCCCTGGATCATATATAGTTCCCTGAAATATGAGATGACCCAGAAATAGGCTATAGGCTATTATTCTTGAATTTGATACATTTGTTGAAGATTTGTTCATTTTCCCCACATACACGTGTAGAATAATTGATTAATTGCTCACAAAAATACATTTTGTTTCCCCTAATGAAAGCTAAACATATATACTTTATTAGATTACAGATCTGTTTATCTTGTTTTTTTAGAAAATCAAATATAACCTTAATGCTCAAATGTGGATTGAGCAATTAAGTCTTCTCAGTCTTTTTGTGTGTGTCTATATGAAACTTTAAAAGTTTTGTCCTTGTGGAAAATTTATGTACTTGGTAATTGAACATGGCAGCCTTTCTCAGTGACTTTATTAGTATTTTAAAAATGTTCAGTGCCTGGACATGGTGACTCACACCTGTAATCCCAGCACTTTGGGAGGCCAAGGTAGGAGGATTGCTTGACCCCAAGAGTTGGAGACTAGCCTTGGCAGCAAAGCAAGACCTTGTCTCACAAAAAATTTTAAAAATTAATCGAATGTGGTGGTGCACATCTGTAGTCCCAGCTACTTGGAACGCTGAGGTGGGAGGATCGCTTGAGCCCAGGAGGGTGAAGCTGCAGTGAGCCCTGATTGCTCTACTCTCCAGCTTGGGTAACAGAGCAAGATCCTGTCTCTAAAAAAAAAAAAAAAAAATCAGAAGTATGCAGCTCATACAGAATATACGTTATTTCCCTTTTCATTTAATAGTACATTTCTCTTGGCCTTGTTAACCTATCACATGTGCTCTTTATACAGTGATTTTATTTTAGTTAGGTTGACCCTCATGCTGAATAGAGGTAAAATACAGTTACATACTTATGGCTTTATATGTTTGTTTGTCAAACCTGGGGTATTTTTATGGTGTTTGTTATTTTTTCCAAATGGGCTTTTTTTCTTTTCCTTCTCTCTCTCTCTTTTTTTTTTTTTTTTTTTTTTTTTTTTTGGTAGCACGGAGTCTCATTATGTTGCCCAGACTGGTCTTGAACTCCTGACCTCAAATGACCCTCCCACCTCAGCCTCCCAAAGTGTTGGATTACAGGCATGAGCCACTGTGTCTGGCCTTATTATTATTATTATTTATTATTGTTTTTAATAGTTCAATAGTTACTAATTTTTTTTCATATTTAGGCAGATTAAATTGGTAACACAATAGAGTTCTTAAATACTTCTTTGAAAGAGACTGATTCTAGAATATTTATTGTAAGCCCATCTTCTCTTAAGTTTTGCTTCATTTTTCTAAACTTCAGAAATAATGCTTAATAGAAAAGCCATTTTTTTTGATAGAAAAGCATTTTTATTATTTGGTGTTACTGACATTTGCAAATATGTTTTGAAATATTTTTTTGGCTTTTGAATTTTCCCTTGAGAATTGTGTAGAGAAGAATATACAAATCAAAGAGGATTTAATATATTATTCATTGCATATCTTTCCTTCTGAGATTTTGTTTTAAATCTTTGGAAAGTATGTTACTCATTTCAGTATTTCCACTAATTTTCACTGGTGGATGGTTCTTACTAAATTAATTTCGTGCCATACTATGTTAAAAACTTTTATTCTCGATAGATATTAGCCCCATATTGTTTTAACCACCATTGCTTTATGTTACTAATCTTTTTGGTGTCTCTGGAAAGAACTGATTTTAATTTCTATTTATTAATGAACTTTTGTAACTCATGTGACCTAATCATAGCGTAAGAGGACAGTTGCACAGTGCTCCTGCATGGAGTACAGGAATACTGGCTTCCATGCATGTTACCTGCTGATGGGATGGATGCTAGCTGAGTGTTTGAGTAGACTCATTATGATAGATATATTTCCTATTGTGTGCCAGACACTGTCTAGGAACTGATGATACAGAAATATGCCTTCAGGTACCTGACACCCTCGTGGGGAACCAGACAGCCATCAGTTATGTGATGTAATGTGTCACTGTCACGAAAGAAAGAAGGAGAGGGGACAGAGGATGAGTGAGTTCCTAGTTCATATGTCAGTCATTGGGGAATGTCTCTGATTAGGTAATGTTAGATCAGAAATTTGAAGACATCATTTGAAGATCTGAGGCAAAAATGTTACTGTCAGTAAGAAGAAAGTGCAGGTTGCCTGAGTGCTTGAAGGATGGCAAGAAAATTAGCATGGCAAGAGTGGAATAAGATGAAGATAAAGTCAGAAGAACAGGGGCCTAAAGCTTGGGTTTTCTTCGGAAAGCCGTGGGAAGCCATGAGAGGGTTCTGAGCAGGTGGATGGTGCGTTCTGATTTGCTTGAGAAGACCCTCTGGCTGCTGGGTGGGCATGGGCAGCATGAGAGTAGAGATGGGAGACCAGCCTGGAGGCTGTTGCAGTACCCAGGTAGGAAATGGAGTCATCTCTTTACAGGTACTGCCTGTGGGTGATCTATTATTTTGGAAGAAATACATCATAGGTTGGTGATCTGATTGTGTTAGCTAGAGTTAACCCTCACCTGGCCTGTTTGGGATCGGTTCTGGTGGGCCTGAGAGCCACATCAGCTGGCATCTGTAGCTTTGTGCTCTGCTTCCTGAATCTGAGCAATGTCAGTCATTTAAGTTATTGTTTGGGGGCAGATCTACTTTTCTGTCATCATCTTAGCTGTTTCAATCCCTATTGTCCATCCATCCATCCATTCATTCATTCATTAAAAAATGGGAAAGACATCCCACCATTATGTGGCAGGCACTGTTGTCAGTCCTAGGGATACAGCAGGGAATGAGCTAGAAAGGGTCCTTGTTCTTAAGGAACCTGCATGGACATAGCAGCTTTTCATGTGCCGTGGAGAGATACAAAAACAGATAAATTTAAGTCTTGGTCTCCCTCAAGTGACGAAATTTTAGTTGTTCACAAATAATACCTATTAAATATCTTGGAGTAAATAATTTCTTATGTTTATTTCAAGCAATTCTTTTTCTCCAAAAGAGCATAAATGGTATTTTGTGTAATGAGAGCTCATAGCTATTTCTGAATTGTGAGGAGAACATAACCGATTTTTAAGCAGTGTTTTTCTTTTTTTTTTTTTTTTTTGCATTATTGTTGCAGCTATATCAGGACTATAGTAGTTTATAATCATACATTTATTTAATAATGAAATTGTCTGTCTCTCCCACTAGACTGTCAGTTCCATGACGGAGGGAACCCATTTGTTTTTGCTCACCATTGTATTCCCAGCACATATTCCAGTTCCTGGCACATAGTAGGTGCTTACTAAATATTTATTGAATGAGTGAATGAATGAATGACATTGTTTAACTTCCAAAGCAAATTTGAAGTCCACCTTTCCCATTATGCTACTTAGCAAAGAAGAAAGCAAACCATAAGAAAACCAGGGTTTTACAAATTAAATACAATAGAATTCACAGGGATTGTCCTGAGGTCCTTTATCAGTGTTAATTTGATGTTTATGCAGTCCTGGTTGATGTTTTTAAAACTATAGTGGCTGCTTTCAGGTACAGCAGAATTCTGGCATATTCAGTATACTCTAAGGAAAATGGACTATAAATAATTTTAGAAATATTTCAACAAAAGTTTAAAGATTATTTTTTGGTTTCCTTTGCATCTCATTTCCAGAGCATTCATGTCGTGTGAGGTATTTTTGTGAATATGAAATCGTTGCTCTGTGTTAAAAGAGCATCCAAAAAAAGATGTAAATTTTTAAAAAGCGAAAACATTTGCACATTTTTGCTTAAAAGGTAATTATTTTGAAAAACATGTATATGCTAAATAATTTTTTTCAACAGGGAAATTAACGGGAAAATTAGGCTACTTCAGATTGTGGCATCAAGCCAATAAAATCTTTTTACTAGTTCTCCCTGATTATTCTTCTTTTTAGATTCCTCTAGGACTTTTCCAGTTGGTTTCCAACTTTTCTTAAGCCCCTCAACTCAACTTTAGCATAATTACCTTCCACTCCTTGTCTCAGTA